GGTTTGATAAAAGAGCTATCCCAATCACACCCAGTGGATAAGTGTGTACTATTACCCGCTGAATAATGAAGTCATGCCCTCCAGCGTAGCAAGAGACAACAGTGCTTGACGACGGGTGATATTCCAAAAAATAGCGACTGCGCAGAATTTATGCGCGCACGGTTCACTGTTATATGTATTTGTATAAAACATTCAGTATAATATAATAAATATTGCATGTAGTTGAGTATAATATTGAAAATTTTCACCCCAAGAAAACCAGTGTCAACCGTGGCACAGCCATTTGTCAATGGTTTTCGAGGGATGAAATATTTATATATTACCTCGATCCTCTCTGTTCTTCTTACTCAGTATCCACTTAATATGTTTTATTACATTGTACTTTGATTTTGATAATGGGTCTCAATTTGCATATTTTTATTTATTTATTATTTTTTGACAAAGTGTATTTCTTTCATTATCGCTTTTTGAAACCTTTGGGGTTTTTTGAGGTAGGGGGTACTTTTAAATTTTTAGATTAAAAAAATCGTGTTTTGTCAAACTCCTGCAAACTAATGAAATATTTCTCATAATAACCACCCAAAATATGGACAGCAACGGTATTACCGGTACGTAGCAAGCTTACATGTTCTTAACATCTTGATCGCTTAAGTCAGACAAACCCATTCACTTTCATTTAAAACATTTGTATTTGCATTTACAAGAAGTGATTAAGCTATTGTATATACATATTCCTATAGATATTTTTTAGTAGGCAAAAATTAATAAGAGGTATTTTTCCATTGATCGCCATATTCTGGGTCAACATGCTTATATTCCTTCATTATTCAACCAACCTAAACTTTTTATCTTGGCAATAGTGGGGTAGGAACAGTTGTTTTCCGGAAAAAAAGTTTAAATTTGTCAGGACCTTTTATATTTCTTCATTTTTATTTTAATAAGATCCCCCACAAATATTTTCACTGCATTCTTTCAAATATGGTAGGACAAAGAGAAAAGATTGCTATGCTGACCATAAATGGCCGAAAAAGTAAATAACTCAGAGTTAAAGTCATATGAAAACTATTTATTAAAAACATCTATAACTTTTTATGGCCATTTCTAACCCTTACTTCTTTGTACTTACTTCTTTGGCGTTCCTTTCAATATAGTATTTCAGTAAAAATTGACTTGCTGAAAAGTTGCTTTATTGTTTCTCGGTATCCATTCCTTACCAGTAAATACGTGACACTGGACATGCTCGGCCCTGTTAGTGACTTTTCTTTGTCTTATCTTAGAAATGGACGAGGCTAATGCACATGCAGTTCAAACTGGGCACAAAACATGGTATTCTTCTTGGAACATTTTCTCGAAATCAGTTTTTGCCATCATCAGTACATTCTTTAATGATTGATGATATCAATAAAGAAAATGAATTAGTGTTAGGGAAGCTGCTCGTCTACAATCTGTTGGGGATGGACAAGGCTTCACGACATGTACATGTAAAAGTGGCTGCATAAAAAAAATTGTAAATGTCTAAAAGCAAATTTACTTTGTAAATCAAGGTACCACAACAGTCTATCCTGTCGCAATAAGTAAACGAAATGTATTTAGCACATATGTTTTTTTTTACATTTTAAAATGTACCTCCATATATTTTATTCTATTGGCATACTAAATTAAATTTTTAAATACTTTCATATATGAAGTCGTGTTGTTTTAAGAAGAATTTTAGTAATACAACAGAGTATCAGTAAAAACATGTAAAACTCTTAAATTTTCAGTAAATACATGTAAATTCTAACCCTTTAAAACATTACATGTATTTCCTTAAACAGCCAGTTAACACATACATTTACTGAACAGGTTAGGAAATACGTGCAATTCCTGATTAAACATATTTTCTGTAACATATATAACTACTGGTCAAATTAACATGTACTTTGCTATTCTTGAGACGATTTCATTTTTAAAATTTCTTCATTTTCCAATACTAAACATTGACTTCCTGCTAAGTCTTGCCCTTTCTCCAGGGATCGTTGTTTGCAACAACTGTGAACTTTTAGCACTTGTGGATGATTCTATAGGAAAATGACAAATGAATGCTTCTCTGTTTTTGAAAAATTTTAAAGATATTTTCTATATATTCTTTTGTAAATCTTAAATTCTTGGATTATTTTTGGCTAGTTTGGTTGATAATGGTAAAGTGATTTCTAGAGAAGATGTCAAACACGTGAAAATAGAAATGGAAATAATTTCAATATGCCTTAATTACTCAAAATTTCGCCCAAACTCCTATTCGGGTTTACAAGGATTTTTGATTTTATAATTTTTCTATAGATTTTTATGTTTATCGTGCTTTATTTTTGAGAGCTTTAATTCCATGATTTAAATTACCCCTTAAGAGACTAATAATGATAACACATAAACTTACAAATAATCGAAAGTCAGTAAAAGGTTTAACTAAAAACTGGAATATAAGAAAGACAAGGGTTAAAATTATATAATAAAATTGATATATTAAACAGGTAGATAAAAATGTAAATTCCCAGGCATTTGATCACACCCTTGGAATTTCCCAGGGTCGTGTTTTGTGCTCTAACTGTATAGCGGAATTTCTTGACGGGTGTAAAATTTGGCGTTTTGCTTGCCAAAAATTTTGGCGTAAATTATTTTAACGGAAACAGGATTTCAAGTCTTTTCAGACGAACACTAGGACGAGGGCTGTCTATTTAAGCGATTAACATTTTAGCTTACTACCATGATACCGCCCAAATAAGCCAAAGACCTATCAACGGAGTAGGCAGGATATAGTAAGGTACCTGTTTGTGTTTGTTGGTTGTTGTCGGAATCTATGTCTACTACTGTCTGGGTTCATAGATATGCTCTTTGCGATAAGGATGTTCTGTTTTATGATCCTTGTTATAGATGTATTCTTTTTGAGCTTTCATAAAGATCTACACGCACTGTTTGTTATTTGCACCTAATATATTCCGTAAATTTTAATCTGGTGTAGAGTCCAGAAGTATTGAAACATTATTTATCACTTTAAAATGCAGTTTGATCCAAAACATAACTTAATTTAATTTCATGGAAATAAATTTTAAGAATAAGCACATTATGAAATCAGGAATAATATTGTTCTTTAAATGTTAGTTTTTCTGGCATATTTTTTGTTTTGAGTTTATCAATTTACAAGCAAAAGCATTTTTAGTAAATGGTAAAAGGGAAAATAAAAAACAAACGATCAATAGAGTTTCATATTCTAAAAATATCTAAAAATGTTTAATTTTATTAGAATTACAATGAATCTTAAACAGGATTAAAGGGGCTGGGGTTGGCAGCCATTTTCAGACTATTTCGATCTCCTTTCAAAGAAGAGCGCCACATAAAGATATACAAAAATGATCAAATTTTTAAAACTAAAATGTATGATTTTTTTTTGCCAAATGATAGATAACAGCTTTAGATACCATATCTAAAAAAATAAGGTAAATTCGGTGGTTAATTTGTGGTTAATTTGTGGTTAATTTATTGACCCCCAGCCTTCTTAAAATAGACGTTTTAAAAATATTGATTAATTAAGAAATGACTCTAATTCTTGGCCAAATTATCGCGTATAATCTGGTTTGGGTCAGTTTATGCTTTATAATCCCCGAAGCGGATTATAAAAAATTGTAAACTGACCCAAACCAGATTATACTCCTTGATTTGGCCAAGAATTAAAATAATTCCTTAAAATTTAATTTTAGAATATTTAAACAACTTTGGATGTAAAATTATGTTGCTTTTTATGAGCTCAAATTTACCGCGCAATAATACAACCGTAGTAACGGAAGTGATGAGAAGCGAGGGGAGGTAATAACTGATACATAGATCTAGCAGCCATGATGTTTGTTTACATGAGGTACGATGGAGTAACTGTTCGAAGTTAAAGGTACAATCTCAAATCTGAAATTTTCCATGGATTGCGAGGACTAAAAATGAGGGGATTGGATGGATAAGATGATTAAGCTGGTCGTGAAAGGGGGTGGGGGTGTCCCCATACCAAACCAGATTAAACAAAATAATTTGCGTTCCGTTTTAGAAATCAACCAATGAGAAGCTAGAATACAAACAAAATTAAATTATTACCATATAATATTCTAGCAATAAAAATGAAAGTTAAAGCTACATTTAATTATAGAATATCATGTATGTTCGTGTGTTGTCTTTATGCAACAGCTTTTAAAAGTTCCGGGATTAGACCCAAATAAACAATTTCCAAGAATTCAATAAGACTTAAGGTACATGTATGCCACTATTGAAATTAGTTAAAATTTGTTCTAAAAAAATAAATTGAGACCTCTATATCTAATATTCCTAGCACAAAATATTCTGTTAGACATGTGAGCTAAAGTTGTATATATTTAACAAATATTTATTTTTAAAGAATAAAATTTCTCCTAAATATTCTTCCTCAACAAGAAATAGTCCCTTTTAAAATTTTCTGCATGAAATATTTGGGTTTTTTTTTTAATTTCAATTGAGTTTTGCATAATTTGCATGGATTAATTAAAACATGCTATGAAAATTGAATTAAAATATTTATATTCAAAGAATAAAATTTCTCCTAAATATTCTTCCTCAACAAGAAATAGTCCCTTTTAAAATTTTCTGCATGAAATATTTGGGGTTTTTTTTAATTTCAATTGAGTTTTGCATAATTTGCATGGATTAATTAAAACATGCTATGAAAATTGAATTAAAGTGTATAATAAATAGTTTGAAGCAAACATTCTGATTGATTTTTTTTTCTTAAATGCTGACGTAGGACGTACCTTAAATGAATTTATTATATTTCCTTCCAACAAACAGAGTGAAACTAAGTGTTGAAAGAAAACATTGCTCATTGGAAGAAATTATAAAAAAGGGAAGGGCTTGTGATTTTCTGACAGTAAAAGTAAAAAGAAAATAAAGTCATTCGCCTGTTGTTTTTTTTTTCAAAGGAAGATAAAAATGACAAATATAACTGCATGGATTACAAAAAATTGGTATATCATTTTTCCTTTTTAACCACTTTCGTAAAGTTCATGATCCTTTTATAAACATTCTGCTTTACAATATCTGCAGTAAATAGAAACTTACTTTACTCTACAAAATACCATTGCAGCAACGGCTTGTGATAAAAAGTCGCATAAATATAGAAATGTCATTTAGCTTTGCAATTGCAACGCTTACTGCCCTAAATTCTTGCATCAACAGTTGCCATTCTCAACCGCTAATGCTAAATCAAAGCGTCATGAATATATAACAATATTTAGCAAAAGAAAATATCAACTACATTGTAATAATTTGAAATTAATGACATTAAACATTCTATTGCATTGTTTAATGAAATGTTTAAGTCGTTCAATCACTATCGGTTGCTACATACTTGTGCAATACAGAATGTAAAACTTCTAGTTTACATATATACATGTATGTTCAAAGACAAACAAAGCAGATTTCAAGTATATTTTCATGTTTTGTTGTTTCGAACATGGATATGGAGATACGCCGGATCTCCCTGAGAGACAAACCCTTCCGCGATATACTTTCTATCGGGAGAATAACTCGATGTCCATTTCATAGTTCCTCCGCTATAAAAATTAATTCCAATTTCCAACATTTTATCATCGAATCCTCGAACGATTTCCTTTTCTCGTTCACACCACAGAAACCCAGCTTTATTCATTCCTCTATATGGGTTACCATACATGATACATAGTTTGTAATTATCAATATCATAAGCCACAACGCCGACTGTGCCATACAAGGAAAACTTCGTCTTGTGGAATCCAAGACAATACAATGAATTTGGTGCAATACTTGAAGGGAGAACTGTGTGAATTATCCCACAGTTTGGGGCTACACATCCGTTTATCATTGCTGTATCAGACAGATTTTTAATCTTCATACAAAGTGGATGACCATTCTGGAAAAAAAATATTTTAAAATGGAATAAATTGCAATACAGATATGAATAAACGAAAGATACTCCTTTTTCTTATTCACATAAAAAAGGAGCATTTAATCTTTATTTGCCTCAAATGCAAAATGGAAAAAAAAAGATGTGCGTCACGAACATAGTTTTTCTTTTTCAACATTATCCACTGAGTTTAACTTGAATAGCAAATTCCAAAAAATAAACAGCACAGCTTGCATTAAATACTCACTGTCAGACGTTTTCCGAGCTCCACTAGAAGATTTTGTTCAGCTTCCGTTACTTCATCCGTCAATAATTTAATCTCTTTGCCTTCTGCCATTTGTTGCTTTATCTTGAAATGAATATGAATCTATCAATACAATGTAAAATGGTCATAAAAGTAAGATATGTATAATATCTTATAATTAAATATGTATATGAGGTTACTATGATGTAAAAAAAACCTAAGACCATACTGATAAATTTAGCTGATTCAGAGCATTGGTTCAGGATGTCATATTTTGTGTAAAACTTGTATGTTTTTGATGTTAATATACGCTCGTTTGAGCGTTAAAGTAAATACGACAAGCATTTTGCATAATTGATAAGCAGTACATGTCCCATGCCGCGTTCCCCTTTTCTATTTAGGATGTATATGAATGTATATGAAAAGGTGTTCCCTCCAAAATGTGGGCATTTCGATTATTACTTGTTTATGAATGAGATGTCTTGGAATTAAGTCGAATTTCTTTACAAAGGGAAATCGTATGTTACTAATAGGACCAAGGTATTTCTGAATAATAACTACTCTGGGACTGCTGTGGGACTACTCTTGAACGGCTGAGGGACTGCTAAAAGCAGTCCAGAAAAGCAATGCTCGGATATGCTCTAAGACTGCTTTGTGTCAGATTGGGTCTGAGTGGTACTTTTAGTGATCATATCAGAAATGAATTTTAAGAATGCGATTAGGATTTATTTAATCGCTTAAGATTTGAATAACCCAAATATAATGAATTTTATATTACAAAAATGTTTGAAACGTTCCTTAGTACATCAGGTAAGGACTGAAGAACATGTTTCAAAAGTTAACATTTTTTTTACGGATTAAGAGATGTAAATATTTTTTCTTTATTCTGTTTTGACAGAGTTTCATTGCATTGATTATAATGCTTTTTCCCATACACATTAAATTAAAAGTAGTATTAAAACTTTGTATCATGGATTTTAACAAGATGTAGAAAAATGTAATTTAATATAAGAAGACCTTTGGCCTACTTACTCCAAGAATTCGGACATAATATGTTATATCGACCTTAAGTAAACAGTAGCCCATTTTATTTCAAATTACTCTCTAAACCTTAGCTCACAATTCGGGTATGCTTCCACATTAGACTTAGAGAAATTGTACGTTTTCGGTCACAAATCTTAAATGTTCTTTGTAAGCGAAAATTTCATGATTTAAAAAAGGAAATGGGTGAACTTAGCGTGCAAAAAACCCACAAGCTTCAGATATATAAAAATGATATTCAAATTGTGATTTTAGTATTAAGAGTAAAGTTCTCATCATTGATTTTTGTAAAATCATGATAGACAAAAAGTTTTTAGGAGAATTTTTCGTTAAAATTTATTCTTTTATAAAGAAAAATAATGTGGTATCCATTGGGTTCGAACCCTGGCAATAAAAATCCTAAGTTGCATTCTTTATTGAGACTACCACGCTAACCGCTGCGCTACACAAGTCTTGATGAAGTGTGACATTTAAATCATGTTTGCGATATGACCATTGACTTAAGAGATACGAAAGTTATGTCATAAACTTTTTTTTAAATATTTTTAAGGTATAGTGGGTCATTGCTTCATAAATTTGGAAACCAAAATATGTATGTTTTTATGCACACTTTGAGGATTACCTTTCAAAAAAATGGAGAGAAGACCCACTCATTACGAAAAATAGTGTTATAGTGTGGAAAAATGACTCGTTTTGTCTTCTTTCGTGTGTGTATAATATTTCATAGACAAATAACTTCAATTTTCATAAGATTTGTGCAAGTTGTAGAGATTTTACATAAAGTATACTTTAATGATAGATGAAATATTTAGGAAAATTTTGATAAAATTGAGATTTAATTTTTCACCTTCATGTTTGTTGCGCTATGGGCTTATCTCCCGTCATGTTCACCCACCTCCTTTGCGACATTCGAAAATGAGTGCATAGATAATAATACTCTTACCCTACTCCATCGATCGCAAACATTACACTCATATTAACAGGGTTCATTCTTTCAATGTGTTCTTACAATATAAAGCCCCAGTCACACTGTCACGATTTTAGATCACGGTAAGCTACGATTTAGGGATCCGTGAATATTCTTAGACATCCGCAGTCAGTCCGTTATTATTACCGTGGTGAGCCCTGTTAACTCAGATTACTCCTGAACGATCCGTAAATTGCTACGACTGTTTTGAACTGTTCTAAACAGTCGTGGAAAACCGCGATGCAACTTCAGTTGTTGTATATCGTAGTTACCCCGTACGGTATGCCTACCATCACCGTGTGACCACCGTATAAACTTTCGTGATGTTTCGGGGTCATCCGTGACAAGTGGGTCTACGCTTACTCAAGGATTTCGACGAAGGCAGTAGGGAAAATATACGAATATACAAGATAATCCGTAACTAACCGTAAACCCCGCACATTTTGTTTCGGTTGTAGTAGGAAAGGGACAAGGAAACAATACAGAGACTCACGAATAATGGCGGCGAACCGTTTTTCTTACGTTGTTATTACGGCAGCAGTAAGGGTTTTGACGTCTAATCACGTTTCTTAACGACAATTCTACGGTTGGATACGATAGCTTATGATTTTTCAGTTATTTATTACACATTTTTGTCACAATTTTTGTCATTGTTAACTGTTGTTCATGACTGTACATATGACCATGAGCACATGATTCGGCTTCTAATCTGCATCTGTAGTTGAAAAGACAGAACTACATTGTTTTGGCACATATTTTTTATACCAAGGAAGTTGGAAGAAGGAAAATAAAGAAGAAAACAGTTTGGGTATGATGAGTTAAAACTGGTATAAGCTTACAATTGCATCAGTGGACAATTACAACCCATTTAAGTATAATTTCAAAGTTTTTCCGGACACTTTCTTTCAGGTATCCGTGAGATTTGTAAAGTTATCATCCAAAAATAAAACGAAAGAGAACGTGTCTGCACATCAACTCCAATGAATGTAAAACTATTGCTAATTGACCTTCGTAGTGATAGCTGTAAAACCATATGCATTGTATTGATGGGCTTTCATTGATGACAAACATGAAGCAGTTACTATGACAATCTAATTAAAATTAGATGTTAGATCCGCTTGCATACTCGCTACACGAACAATCTAATTAAAATTAGATGTTAGATCCGCTCGTATACGGAGTAGTCTCTACACTGACAGTGTAGCGAGTATACGAGCGGATCTAAAATCTATTTTAATTAGATTGTTACTTTGAAAGTATTAAGTAGATTCCCAACAACACATTCAATCCCAGCTAATGAGAACAAAACGGTCCCACTTTGTACTTTTAGCTGACCCTATTGCCTGTCAGGTGTCATGTCTGGAATTCTGGTTGACAAATAACCGTGTCCTGACTACATAAGAACTGCTTGATAGTTCTATTGTGCTGACCTCTATCTGCGTAAAGATTCAGAAGAACCTTGAGAATCCGAAAACTCAGTGCTTGTCCTTAATCATATCGAAGATCATACCCTTATTACTTACAAACAAGTTTATGAAAACGGAATATCAACAGTCTTGTTTATAGTCATAATTTCCTACGTTCTCTGTTCAAAACAATGACCTTGTCAGAAAATCCAATCTATCATTTAGTCAAAAGCTGACTGACATTTTTTATACTTACTGTAAGACCATTATTTACACATCCAATTGTCGACGGATTCTTCCGTTATTTCCCTATCAAATCAAGGAGCACACGGCGGGTGAGACCTGTCGGTGGGGATTGCTTACTCCACTCTGGCACCTGATCCCACCTCTGATATTTTAAAGGTCCGTGTTTGCTTTGCCTCTGGTTTGTATGTTTGAATGGACTTTGAGATTGAAAACTGTTCATTATCTCCATATCTTTCATCCGTTACAAAATTTCTAGATTCTTGAGAGATTACCAAATTTTGATTTAGGCAGATGATACTTAGTGGTGGTAACCACTTTCTGCTGACCAGTTAAATATAAACCGAGTATATATCAGAACCTTAGCTACTACACTCAATTACAGGAAGAGTGTCTAGGCAACGTAACTTAATCTGAATCACAAAAATATTGAAGGAAAACACATTGTAAATGATTTTTATTGTAAGAGTGAATAAACTAAAATGTTAATATAGAATTGATCTAGAAATATTGAATAAATTTCCATAGCTTTTAAATATATGCATTTTTTTCTCATACATAACAGTTATCTGAAAATAAGTCAACTTTTATAAGGATTTAAAATATAAGAACGACCCACTTGTATTCTAAAATAAGAACTGAAATAGTAACATTTGATTTCTCAATGATTCCTCTTTATATCGGTATTTTTGAAAAATGTTAATGCTGGCGTCCATATACAGAGAACCTTAATTTCTATTACATTTTTCCCAATGTCTTTTACTTGCTTAGACGTAAGGCGTCTTAAAAAATCTTCATCATTCGTGGTATTCTCGTACAAGAGACGTGGGGTGCTGTAGCATTAACTTGATGGTCGTAACAGTAGCTTAGCAATCACTAGTTAGACCGTCCCATTACAAGGTATTACTACGGGATACTGTGGTTTTCCGTAAGAGTGCCCGTGGCGTTAATGGCAGGGTCCTTAATGAAGCCGTGTTCAAACCTTGTTGAACCGTTTAATAATCTTGGAACAACCGTTTCGTTTGCTTTTCGCGCCAAGAAATCGTATTAGAATTACGATTTCATACGGTTTATGAAATCGGGGTGAACCGTTGCAATCCGTGTTTATTACCGTGATAGTGTGACCTACGCTTAAGATAAGATGTAGACACGGTTTGACATTTGGCTGATGAATGCAGGTTTTGGGTCACGGAAAGACAGGTTGTACATTTTGTAAAGGAAAAGTTACGTGATTTAGCGAAAACAAAAGGAATTAAGGTCAGCCGTATAAAACAGCATTGATCTTAAACATGTTAAACCTTAACCGAAATCTTTTGAGCTAACCTGATTGTTGAAACAATGGAAAATGGCGATTTGTTTACATTCTGATTAGCAAAGGCAAGGAAAATAACCACTGCGTAGTTCCATAATAATGGGAACAGGTGAACTACAAACTTCCCTCCTTGAGCTTTATATGTCCCTCGGGGATCAGCCTTTCGCAAATGCTTCTCGTTTATATCGATTTTCCTAATTAATTAAGTAAACCCACATCTCTTTTCATATCTGTTTAATGTTTATATAACTGAGAAAATAGTGGATATCTTACATTAGTATGTTCACGATGACTTCTAAGTAGGCTATGTTTCAAGTTCAAACATTTGTAACATTTGAACGAAAATGTTCTAAAGACGTACCTTTCCGACACAGGTTATCTCCTTTGTTTCCTTCTTTACAGACAATGAAAGCCAATTGAAATAGAACCGTTGCTATCTTGTAAGTGTTGAATAGCACGACTGCACTTTAAAAAATGCGCATGCTTTAAAACAATGTATAGATTTTGATTAGAATATCAGATGCCTATCACAGGTACGTTGGAAAGGAGGAACCACATATGCGTGTTTGAAACAAATCAATTGAATGCAGCGCTAATAATAAGACTCTTTAATTAGAGTTTGTATGAAAAGTGTATACCTTCTAGGTTTTCTGGACATTTCATTTGATTTTTATCTGTGTTGGGGGAATATGTTCATATAATTTTAAATTAATTTTAACATAATGATACTTTTTTAAGAAAACTGATTTACCCACGTTTAACGTATCAGTGAAAATTTTAGAAAACGTATATTTTGCTGTTTGTACTGAAAATTAATATAATTTTAACGAAAATTGTTTTTGCGATTTAATTGGACACTTAAAGCATTATGTTCAGCTCAATACGGAATAATGGTAATTAAATTTAGCAATCTCAAAATTCTTTGTAAAGGTGTAAATATTTTTTTTTTCTTAAACTTCTGCATATCAGGTATATGACTTTCTTTAACGGGTATATAAAACCACAAAGTTAATATTTTTTAAAGTGTCATTGAATATTTTATCACTCTGTTCTTATCAAGTTAACTGACTAGTGTAAACAAATCATTTTCTCACACATGATTTAAAGTACACTATACAGTTCTCTAAAAATATATGGTATAGAATATAATTTTCCTTGTTCCAAGCTTCTCAAATATTGCATTTCCCGCCAAAGGAATCTAAATCTGAATTACTGATTGTCACAAAATGTAACTGCTTAATAGTAGACTGATATAGCTTGTCTGATGATACAATGATATTTTTAATGTATTTATGACTAATGAATGATATTAAAGGAAGGAATACTGTGTTTCTTAATTTTTTTTTTTATCATTTTCAACACAGTTGGATACACATCCCTGTATTGCCCCTTTCTCCCTTGGTTCTGTTATTGTGCTATTGATTATTAGTTGACTTATTCAATTTTAATTTTAATGCCTACATGTATGGCTATTTTACTTTTGTGATCATTTTCAGACATGCGTTACATATCATGTAAATTGTAGAACCCATATTTACTTTATAATTTTCCCCGCATTCGTTGAACTACCTTTGTTCATTAGAAAGTGAAATTCCTTCGAAAAAAATTCTAGTTATATTAGAAATGTGTAAATGAATTCACTGTATCTATATGACGTCTGCCATATTGTATTATTTTGAGTGACCTGGAAGATGTACTGACACATTTTAAGTGCACTTTATATTTTGTTATCTTGATTATTATTTTATTTCATATTTCTGTATTTTACGAGGGTTGTCCCGTAAAATCGTGGACAAGTTGTCTCGCTTGAATAATAATCATCACTGCGTTCTGAAATTTTTACTACTTCTTAGTACATATTTTCTGAATAAATATCGCAAATTTCAAATAGATATATGCATAAATAAACGAATTATGAGATTTAATAGTATGTATTGTACCGTCTTACGGCGCACGGATGATAACGTCAAAGTGCCTAAAACAGCGTCACTTAGCTCAAGTTTCATCTTTGCACTAAAAATAAAGTTGCAT